CCCCAAAACCCCAAAACCCCAAAACCCCAAAACCCCGTTAGGGTGACTATATATTTAGATATAGAGCATGAATATTAAGCAAGTATATTCTTTTTAGTCTTAGAGTCGGATATCATCAACATTAGGGAACTCACTCATGGACATGTCTAATCTAAACCTCCAGAAGGGTATAATTTGATTTTGATATTCCCTTTCATTAGCTCTCTTATCTCTGAGTTTTCTTGGCCTTCAGAGTTATAGCTAACAGGATAGATGTCCAGTTGTCTCAGAGTAGAATTGAGCTTAGATTTTGCCATTTTGGTGGTCAATCCATCATAATGCTCACTGTCTTGTTCAGGTTGAGTAATCTCCGTCTTGAACAACCCCAAATCCGAAATTGCAACTCTGGCATTATTAAGATAATCAAAGTGGTTCACTGTAACCTTGCACAATCTGAGATGTAGCCTACACTTATAAACCACTGAGACTAAGATCCTTCCGAAATCTTTATGAGATATCCTGAGTCTTTTTAGCTTGAGTAAACATAAAGTTGCACTCATGGCTTTGCATGCACTTCTGGAATAAAAGCTAAAGTTCACTAAAATATTTGCAGCCCCACTGAAAGAAAATATGTACTTTTGTGTATCACTAATGATGTAGGTCGCTTTTCTACAACTATGCTTAGGTCCGAAATCTCTCTCTTTGAGCTCATGGATACCACCAACACTTAAGAAATCGAGGTGATAGAATGCGAGCTTGTGGGATGTCACCCTTTTGTACTGATTATGATTGCAGCAGCTTACTAAACCGAACAAGAAAGTTTCTTCATATCATCCTCTTCTGAACAGAAGCAGCTTCAAGCGCCTAGTTTCAGCATTCGCCAGGACCAATTGGTTATTCTTTTCGCTAGAGTCTTCTCTAGTTCTTAATCCTCATTTTATGCTGGAATATACCTTACCCATTGTTAGAGTGACTGAATTGTATCTTGAGTTGAGTTCTACAATAATGTATTAAGGAATTGATTGCGAATTATCAGCTAATTAAATGTTGTAAGATTGATGGTGTCTCATTTTATCTATCAATAAAAGCCACCTTCGGCCAAGAGGCCCAGAACTTTATGAGACGATAAATTTTTACATGATTAATGCTCAACCTACATATTTAGCAAAATTTTATAAACTTGATCAACTTCTTGACTTATTTGGGGTTTTGGGGTTTTGGGGTTTTGGGG